GAGATCTTTCAATTTTTATCAATGAAGAGCTCGTTAAAAGTTTTATATAATTTACTCGTTCAAGCGTAGCGAGTATCATAAAAGAGTTAATTAAATGTTTTCCTTCGAATTTGAAGCGTATCTGCTAAGTATGTTTGATATCTGTATAGACACCGACACTGCAAGTTCTTTAAAGAATGCTCCCCTTCGGAGGCTGAGTGACATCGGGAGACTCCTTTCATGACGAGTATGTTTTCTTTCTTGCTTCATTCGTTTTCTTTCTTAATTTCTTTAATTTTTGCGCGCCCTCTTTAAAAATTTTTTGTGGTTTTTTTTTTTTTTTTTTTTTACCTTTTAACACAGGTATGACAAACATTGTGTAAATACATAACCTAACTTCAATAAGAGTTTGAGAAAACAAAAGTTATAGTGAGTGAATGAGTTGTTGTAACCATTTAACATGAAACTTAAGTCAAGTTAAGCGGTTATTATCTTACTTCCAGAAAGAATTTTTTTTTTTTTTGTTTGTTTTTATTTTTGCTTTTAATTAGAAGAACGGTTCAGACGGTATAAAGGTTTATGCAGAAATATATGCAGTTTCCACTAAAGAGTTGTGGGTTTTTTTTTTTTTTTTAATTCATTTTAAAGAGGTTTTTACAAACTTTTTTTTGTGTTTTATTATAAACTCTATTATCTCTGTTACTCTCATCATTGATTTCCTTTTACTCAAGAGTTATTCACCTTTTTCTCTCAGTTGTTGAATATTTAGTTTTTATCAATAAGTTTGCGTAGAAGTTTTACAGTCATTTTTTTCTTCGTATTAACTATAAATTCATTCACTAAATGTTTTTCAAAATAAATTTATTTATGTTAATTATTTAAAAAAAAAAAAAAGCAATGCCTTTAGGCTTTACTCTTGATTAATAAGCAAATAATAAATGAAATAAAAAAAACAGAGGGAGCAGAGAAGAAACGTTCATAACATTAATATATGAAAGGTTAACAATTTGAAGAGAGCGAAAAAGAGAGTAAGAGTGTGGTGAATGTCGAGATATCGAGAAGAGATCGACAAAGTTACCAATTGAACTATTAAAGCAATTTAGTTGTTTGGTAAGCTTGCAAGTAATTGGATGTTTAAACGCTTAAAAGAAGTGATTAAAGTTAAAAGCAAAAGAAAAAAGAAGAAGAAAAAAAAAAGTTGAGAAAAGTTGAAATAACTATCTTTGCATTTAAAACCTTTATAAGAAAAAACGAAATACAAAAAAAAAAAAAAAACAAATTTTTTTTTTTCCTCCATAATATAATGCATAAGTAATGTGTGAGAGCGCGTGTGTGGCGACAAGTTTATAATATGGTGTTGTCTTGCCTGTTGGGCGAATGAATAAAAGTGAAAATCTGGTTTGTTAAATGATATTTAAATACAATATAATTGAAATTTTAATTATGAAAAGAAATTTAAAAAAATGAAAAAAAAAAAAATTAAAGAAAATAAAAAAAATAAATAAATAAATAAAAAAAATCCAAATAAAAACCAAAATTTATTATAATGAATTATAAATGAAAATAAATTTAAAAAAATATAAATTAAATAAAATGGAAATTGTATTCGGCTTGAACTAACCTACTATTAGCTTACGTGGAAACGTAAGAAAAGAAAAAATCTTCAAGAACTTATTGCTTCTTATAAAGAATGATGTTAAATAACATTCCCTTAACCTAAAACCAGTGGAAGAAGCTTCTTAATCACGCCTGGACAAATTCTAATTTTTATACATTATTTCCCATAGTTTATTATCTTAAAGCTTAAAGTGCTTAAACACTGTCTTCACTACTTTCTAGATATGCAGCAACAATTGTATAGTCCATCGTTTAGTTTAGATGAACGCGTTTTGCAAAATTTTTCCGCTTAAGTTTAGAAAGCGGGTTTTCATTACTCATTATTCATAGTATTCACGAATTGATTTGGATAAAATGTTTTCACAATTCAATCGCATGAATTCATAAAATATTTCTTCACACTAAATTTGTCGCATCCATATTCCATGCTTAATACTGCAAGCGTGATAAGGCAAAGTAGGAAGTCTTCCAATTGAATATTTCCTATATATAAACTATGTAACAAGCAAGCATTGTTAAATTAACTTCATTATTGAACTGAGCCGACCCGATAGATATTCAATGGAGTCCGTCATTCATTTCATAGAGATTGGTAGTAATCAAGCAAGACAGACGGACAAATATGATTCAATCGATTTTCTTTCTTACAAGAGACATACAGACAGACAGGCAGACAGAAGGATAAAATTCAAATGACTTCTCTTTCTACGTCATGCGAATAGACGGAAAAGGTTCAATCGATTCTCTTTTCAATGTAAGAGAGACAGACAGAAAAGATACCATCGATTGCCGCTTTTAGATAAGACAGGTAGACAGACAGGCAGAGAGACAGACAAACAGATCGGCAGACAGACATACAGACAAACAGACAGACACAATTCAATCAGTTCCTCTTTTGACGTCAGACAAAGAGACAGCTAATTACGGTTTAATCGCGAAAATGTCTGACAGGTACTAGTTGAGTAGAACCCACTCTTCTGAGTTGACGAGTATTGACATTTCAATTAGTTAATCGGCAGGCGGAAGAAATATATGATTCAATCGAGTTCGGTATTCACGTAAGACGGCGCACTGTTTATTTGAAACGCAATGGTAAGCACGTTGGGATGGATGGGCAGACGAGCAAGCTTTAGTCGCACCCCCCCATTAAGAGGGAAGAGAAAATCCTAAAATTTTCCTATGAAGACATCCTCAAACCACAAATACAATGCAATATTTTAAGCAAGAATTATATGATTTTTTCATAAGATCCAACAAAAGTGTTCAACCAGATAGGAGGAAGACAACTAAAAGAGAAGAGAAAGGAAAACAATCACTGAAATTTAATGAACTTCTTAAATGACTTCCACTTAATTGATACATTTATAAAAACGCTTTCAATTTGAAAGGTAAACAAGTGTGAAAGTAATCTTCATTTTTTTAAAAAAAATATTTCATAAACGATTGCCTGCAAGAGGAGGCGAGAGGTTAAACGGATAGATAAGATTTAAACGATTTAAGTTTTAATTTCTTGCCGGCACTACAAGTTGGATTTTTTTGGTTTTCAACGGTATACGTAGTCTACCGTAAGCCAATATATGAGATATAAAATATCGTTAGCTTGTTTGCTGTAAGGGAATTATTTTTCAAATTTATTATATAAAGTTAGACCCACGTTTAAATAATAAAACTCATGTTGATTTTATATAATACAAGAATAGCTGACTCATACAAAAAATTATAAAGAAATGAAAAATTTTTTTCTTTACATTTATGCATATTTGTATATACACATATATGTATATGTATGTTTTTGATCTGGTTTCAGACATTTTCGAATGTAAGCTTAATGAAAACATGCATAAAAGATCATTGGCATTTGGTTTAGCTTTTTCGTTCGAATATTTAAAGGCCAGCAAAAGGGGAGAATTTTAAGTCATAAACTCGTTCGAAGGGTGTTTTTAAGAATGCAAGCACTTTGAAGCCTTCGTTGCCTCGTTTCATAGGAACGGCTTTTAAGGAAAGTACGATTCATTTATGGGCTTGGCTAGGTACCAAGTGGCAATAACATTAATAGTCTCTAAATATATATAAATAATAGTAAATACAATATGGTTAGCATATATATAAAAATCCTTAAGTTAAGAAATTGCTTTCAAAAAAAGTAAGACTACTAGTCTCTTAGTTGGGCATGTGTGTGTGTGTGTGTGTAGGAAACTCTAAAGTATTGAAATTGAAACAAGTAAAAAGAATTCTGCGCGACTTGTCAAAGTAAGGCTGTTAATGGGAGGTGGTCGGAAAAGTGATCCGATCCGAACTAATTTCAATAGCATTCATCGTTGCGTCAGAACGTTTCAGTACACCGAGGTTAATCAAAATATAGCAAAAATTGTTGCCTGTTGATTGAATGCAATAAGATATGACGGACAAACGGACGGACAATTTGGATTGATATAAATATAAGATGGATGTTGCATAACTTCTTATAATATACGCTTGCACCACAAGTGATGTACGTTATAAGGACCTTACTCCTTGTACGTATAAAGGCTTACTCATGTCAGCCCATCTGGAAGGGACTTTGCGCTTCTAAAGAGCTTGCATACGATACATTGTTATCTAACTGAACCATTCAAGAAATCAATATTATTTGCTGTGATTGATGCATTTTCTATGACCTCTGTTACTCGAACTCAAGGTTAATCAAACTCTTGAAGAAGTCAAGTCTGAACTCTGGAAGGAAGAATTAAAATCCCTTAAAGTGTACGTTTATGGCTTTAATACTTCTTACTTTTAACTCTAGGGGTTTCAATGGATATTACTGTGATTAGTGAGCCTCTATGAAAAGATTATCTCTCTTCAAGACCAACGCATATAATCATAGCTTTCAGAATTTGAATTTTGCTTTAAATAAACCGACTTGGCTTGATCGTCTTCTTGTTAATACCATTTATAAATAAGCACTCGCCATCCAAATCCTAGATATTGGAATAGATTTTACGCATGTGTATATAGAGTATCTTAAAAGTAATGAAACTCTATATCAAGTAGATTTAAAGCAGCTATCAAGGCCTTTATATCCTCGGTTTATTTCTTATCTATATCTTCGCCTTGACTGTTATGTCGAAAGAGGCTCTATACTCTTACTAGTACATCAGTCGTTATTTATAAATTAGATGTAGGTCGTAGAAAGATCATCTAAACCTCATCATTAATTCGAAGATAGGTTCATGTGCATCTGTTCACCGGCATGTTTACTGTCCATTTACCGAAAGTTCTAAACCTCACCATTAATTCGAAGACATATTAATGTATACCCGTCCATTGGTCCATTCACTGAAAGTTCATCTAAATCTCATTATTAATTCGAAGATATGTTATTGTGTATCCGTCCATCGGTCCATTTACTGTAAATGATACCTGGGACGTTAAAAGGCAGATAGACTAGAGTCTAGCCTGATTTGCATAAACTTTGTTCTCTTAAAAGGAGAGAAAAATAGAAGGAACGTTCAAAAAATTCAAAAAGAGTCAAAATGAGAGCAGTCTTAACCAAAATCGATTACAATTCCATTAATAAGTCACGTACAGCAAGTGCAGTTAAGAAATTTTAGCAAAATATTTACTGAAGTCATTTATAAGATCGTGATAATCAAAAGATACGATCGTCTGCGTTTATCTTTGGTAGTTGGTTTTCAAACGTCGAGCATTGACCGGCGCACCTATGCGACGCGGAATTTACGTAAAGTGTTTCGAAAAAAAAAAAATCATGTCATGTGCCTCCAAGACGTTAAAATCAATTTGAAACAAAATAAATCATTTTTTTTTTGCATGGTTTTCGAATAGTCAGTCAGTCAGTCAGACAGTCATAGAATTGTGACATATGTTGTGGAAATTTTTTTTACAATAAGAAACGAAAAGCAATCCAAATAATTGAAATACATAACCTTTGCATCAGCTGCCATTTGCTTTAAAGTTTCATGCCACGAAACCTGAAGCGTTTGGCTGAAAAGTTATACAATATTTTCTTTAAAGTTGCTTTTTAACTTGTGCTTAACCGGTTCTCATCTAAAGAATTTTTGCATAAATTATTATAAATTCAAGAAAGAAAAAAAGCTTTGTTTTTTTTTTTTTTTTTTTTTTTGCAATAAAAAGAAAAGAATTGCAACCGCCACTAAAAGTGAAATCGAAAGACTTAAGCAAAAAACTATGCAAAAAATAGCATAAATTATTTATAAATGATTATTAAAATAATTAAATTATTTATATAAATAAATAAATTATATAGTGTGAAAATTATCAAATAATTTATTCCATTGAAAATTTATATACAAAAACAATAAAAAATATAAATACAATTTATAATATTTTTACTCATCATAATATTTTTCAAAAAAAATTTCTTTAAAAATTTCAATTTTGTAATTTTTTACAAAAATTTTATAATTTTTTAAATTTGTAATAATAATTGAAAACTGTTAAGATATTTGTAAATTTTCACATCTATTATTTATAATCTTTAAATCTTAAACAATACAAAAAAAATTTATTTATTTCAAATAAATTAGGAAAAAAATTTAGAAAAACTTAAAAACTTATTTTATTTGGAAAATTTTTTAAAATTTTAAAAATTATAAAATTTTAAATAAAAGTTTAAAAAATTATAAAATTTTAAATAAAAATTTTTAAATTATTCGTAATAATAAACAATTACAAATTTTAAAATGTGTTTTAAAATTAACGAAAAGGAAAAAGCATGGACAGACAGACTGACATTGTTGAAACGTGTATGTGTTGCTTCTGAGATGATAATTTCTAAGTGTTGCAAAAAAAAAACCATGCCCGCTTTCATTGGTGGAATTAGAAATTTTTTATATATATATATTATAAGCATGCATTCAATGCTTTGATTGGCCTCATTATTTTTAAGTTAGTAATCAAACTCTTTTAAAGCAAATTACGTTTAATTTTTATTTATTGAGAATTTTTCAAAAATTTCGCGAAAAATTTATTAAGTTTTATGAGTTTCAGTTATCAACGCGAACCTTCCACTAAAAAATTTTTGTAGTTTTAAAAAATAATTTATTGTAAAAAAATTTTTCGTCTTTTTATACACTCCACCGCTTTTGTATATTAAGTTTGTGCGGATGTGTACACCATCCAGAAGCATTTGAGATGGATTCACACTTTATTATATCGATCCGAACTTGTCTGTCCGCCCGTTCGTCTGTTCACCTGCCTATGTTATTTTATTTTGTTTAACCTGCAAGACAAAATTTTCGAGATATTTTGATGAAATTTGGTCTGCCGTTCTGTTTTGGCCCAAAGGCGAACGCTACTGAAACTCTTTCGCACACTTTCAATGTGAGGCCTTATTTTAAAAAGTCGTCACTTTCTTAAGCAAGGCAGTATAGGGTATCTAACGGTAAGCCGTATTCGATGGTAAATGTTTACGATTAACATGAATTTTTGCATTAAAATGAATACGTCCGTCTATCCATCCCCATTTCTAATATAGGAGTTCTTAAAGTCACAACACTTGAGATAGAAAATTGAAACGTGGTAAGCATATGCTTGGGTGACGGCCGCAAGCGTAGATTGGAAATGGGCGTAATCCGCCTAGAAGAACACTTACAGTGGGTGAAGATTACAAGAAACTTTCTTTTTTGTTTTTTAAAATAATTTCAATTTTATCAGCTGCTTGCTCTTCGCCACAGGAATTTCTGTCAAAATTTCGTATATTTCTCAGAGTAATCTTTCAAAGTGAAGAAGATTTCCATCGGCCAATTTATCAAAGCCGTTTTATATGGTATATTGATTGATTGACTGCATCCTTATCCATTTTCTTTTTCTTTTTTTTTATAAATTTTGTAGCTTAACATACGCTTGCAAACGCAACAATAGAAACATTTTCGAAAAATGTTCAATTGCATGGAAAAATCTTTCAATTACAATGCGACGGTAATTGAAGCAAAATTTCTATAAATTAACTAAAGTCTGTTACAAATACATAAAGGAAAAAAATAAATAAATAAGTGAAATAAAAAATACTTTACAACTACTCATCAACGCCATTCAAAAAATATATAAAAATAAAGAAAATCAAAAGGAATTTCAACTCAGATACCACTGCGGCGAAAGAAGTTAGTCATTGTGCTAAAAATTTAATTTGAAGTATAAGGAAAGAAACAAAAAAAAAAAAAAACAAAAAAAAAAACAAGAAAATTCACGAAAATGCTAACAAGTAAACGTAGAAAATCTCATAGCATTTACAACCGTCTGTTGGCGGTTGCTTTAATATGTGGCTTACTTTTCTGCGATGGCATTCAGACGTCAAATGCAGTACCGCAGGCAAACTATAGTGATGATGCAAATGCGCATAATAATCAACAACATGATAGTACATCTGCATCAGCAATAATAACAACAACAACAGCAGCAGCAGCGGATTTAACAATTGTTGGCGTTACGACAGTCAAGCCAGTATTGCTCAACCGTAATACTAATAACAGCAGTAACAGCGCCAACGACAACAATAGTAGCATTATTTCTACTACAGAGAGTCTTAAGTTTACGACAATACAACCAGAGTTGTTGGTTGATACGACTACGATAGTATATAATATTAACAATGATAGTTCATTGACTTCTAGCATAACAGAAACCATAGCAACAGCATCGGTAACTTCATCATCGCCATTGCCATCGTCTTCATCGAACACATCAGTATCTTCTTCCTCTGCTGCCATTGCTGCCAAAGTTTCACATGCAACGGTTCCGTTCACAATTACAACAACACCAGCAACGCCGAACAGCATCAGCTTTGGCCCAACTTTAACTGAAACCAACAAATTGCCTGCCAACGTTCGTGATGTTAATAATAATGGTAAGTTTCTCTTATTTTTTATGTGTAATTTTGTTTTTCTTGCATTTTTGTTGTAATTTTACTCTGCTTTTTTTCTTATTATATTCTATTCTTATGTTTAATGGTGCGGTTATGAGTGCTGTTATTATTGTTGTTATATATATATATACATATATTTTTTTTTTTTTTGAAAATACAATCTAATGCAACAATAGAGAAACGTTGGGTTTGTTCTTATATAGGCTTTATGTTGTTGTATTTTTTTTTTTTTTATATTTGTTTAGAGCGGATAAATTTTCAATATCCAATTAGTTAGATTCTATCAATGGCAATCAATCTTCTGCGCGAATTGTTAAAACAAATTTTCTAAAAAATCAACAAAAATCTTAATAATCACTATCAAAGAATGAAAGTATACTAAATTTTTCATTTGACATGTAGCTCAAGCAAGTAAACATAACTCATGCTATCAGTGTAAGACTATTAGTCTTATTCAACTTGGGCGCCTTTGTAAGCAAAGTTCTCTCAAAGTTAACAGGTTTTTATAATAAATGGGTTTGAACGGAATGAAATCGTCTTAGCATAGCCGTGAATACATAATTGAAACGATTGAAAGTCTTCGCATATATATACATATCTATGTAATTGAAGAAATATATCAGAGGAGAAGTGAAAGGTAAGGAATTTTCGTTTCTTTCTTCCCTGACCACTTTGAAGTCGGGATCAAGAGCAATCTAATTAGATTATGGAAGCAACTATGAGTTAGTTGTCTACTGTTTTAAATGTAAAAAAGTTAAAAAAGATTTTAAAATAACTGCATAGTTATATCAGAATCTGAATCATCAGATTATTAGCTTCATCAATAGTGCGCCAAGGGATTAGCATTCTGCAAAAGAAAAGCAAATGTGATCTCTTTCAGTCATGTCTCTGCTCATATTTTAATTCTTCCAAATCTCTTTTCTTGCTCGCGCATCTATACCTTGGTTTTATGCTAACGCTTTAATTATATCTCAAGTCCGTGCATAGAAGTGTTCATGTCATGAGAAAGACATTCATCGGTTGAGAACAACTTTTCCATGGCTTAGCCCAAATTTGCAACAATAGTTGTCAACTGTGTAAAAGCTTTAAGGCACAATTTCAAATTGGGAGTCAGAAAAGCGCATTGTATGCGACTTGTGTCGCATACGAACACAATAATAACATTACTAAACTTATAACGCGTTATCCTTCGGAAGTCTTTAAGTGAATGCACTTTTCCAAAATTTTCATTTATTTATTTATGGTAAAGCATTTTTATTTTATGGCAAGGCTCCATTGCCAAGTTATGTCATGACAATCGCTGGTCGGGTCTGTAAAATGTTTCTGATTTCATAAGCAGCTAAGCTCAAGGTGTCGAGTCGTAGTGAGTGTGAGAGAGAGCCGGATATCTTGCCACCAGATTGCATGGTAATCCATAAGGCCTTCTAGCTTGGCGATAAATTTTTTATCAATTAGTTGCTTTCTTTAGGAGAATTCCTATGACCGTGCAAATAAGAAAAAGATTTACAAGAGATGTTGTATCAGTATACACCACAAATTCAAAAGGTCATCTTTAACCAACTCAAGCCCGTGTTTTCTGTTTTTTCTAAGCGGTCAACATTATCCAAAGACAGATCCTTAGCCCAACACATTAGGATTCTTTTGTGCAGAAAACTTTCCGGAGAAAAATTCCTGTCTCTTCTTGAGGTCTCTTCAAAACACTAGCTCAACGATAGATTGCTCGCATTTCTTTGCATTTCCACTGCTAAATAACTCGTGTTCCCGATCAATCCGATTTTTTTTTTCACTCTACTAATAACCGCAATCGTGTGCCCAAAATAGCTAACGGCATTGAAGGCAAAGGTATAACTGCCCAAACAGGCTCATTTCCCTGACTACTTCCTCGTTGGCACTAAAGAATTGTATAATACGTTTGAAGGACAACTTAAATCCTACGTTATCGTTTGATAGTTGCTCCGATTTTAAAGGCCATATTTCTGCTTTCCCTTTGCTAACTATGGCTTAGTTACAAACTGTACATTAGGCTTCGCTTAGGTTTGTTCCTTCGAACATCGCTTGAATGTTTCGCTTACGCACAAACCATCTATAAACGAACTTTAGACCATACTTATTAAGCTTGTTTGCGATCGGACAGGCTGGATACGATCAGCTGATTATATTGTTGCGGTTTGTCATGTTATTGCCTAACGACTTCATGTGGGACTTGTAAGTGTGATGAAATTATCAAACTGGTTAACGATTTGGAATCCAAAAAATGGGCTTTATGACAGAGCATGAGCTGCTTGCCGTAATTCAAGAAAGCCAAACTCTGGGACGCATTGTCCAAGCCAGCGCCACTGAGCAAGTGCGATCTGTACATAATGAGCTTTCTGTGTTAAATGAAGTACGTCAAGGGCAAAGGTGCAGTCCTTATTTGCGGTCGATGGATGATTGAATTACTTTCAACGATGAGCAGTCATCATAAGACTCTTATCGAAGAGCATGAACAGCCTTCTCGGGCTGGAAGGTGACCGTGATGGTAACGCTAGCGAACATTCCCAAACAGACTATAAGCCTTCTATTGCTGACTCATTGGATTTGCATGCTCGTGGCAAGACCTGCTCGTATCGGGATTGGATTGAGAATTTCAGGCTCTTTTGCAAGTGCAGAGATCGTCGCTGACTCATAAGGCAAATAATGGTTTATCGATCCAACTACGAGATTTTTTTTTTTAGCAGTACTCACGGGTTGCCTTAAGACAAACATAGTTTGATTGCTTGGGCACTAGTATTTAAGGCTATTGGTTTTATTGAAAACTCCATTCCACTTGAGATTTCAACGTGTGGCCATTGAGTTGTTAGTCAAGAGTCCTGTCCCCCCTACTCAGGCCAATTAGGATGATTATTTACTCGAACATTTGTTTAATTGCTAACGATAAAGAGAAATCTTTCATTTATCAAATTTATTCTATAAGGTGTGACTATTAACAACTATCTCTGAACAAGGCAGAAAAAGTAGTTTTGCAAAAATCTTTTCCAAGGCTATAGATTGGACGCCAATTATTAAAGAATTTATGCAAAAGAGCAAATTAAATTCGACAAACAAAGTTGAATAGAAATCGGCTCCAGGTTATTTACGCATATTTTTCTTTTAAATTATTCATTGCGTGGTCTCATGAGATTGTGTAACGTTTAGGAGTGATTATATAAAGCAAATATATATATATAAATTTATATATAAATCATTCCATAACAAAATCATGATTAATTATTTTCGAAAAAGCAAAACGTTAACATGTAAGCCTTATCGACGAGCGAATAAAACATATGGCGACACAAGTGTGTGTCCTGAGTAGCGTTCATTTATTTGCATTCGCACTGCACGGTTATAGAATAGGAATTTTACGCTTTGTTCAAAGCACTCTCGCTATTTGTTAAACAAAATAATTGAAAGAAAAACAAGTAAGAAGATATAGTCGGGCCGACTTTTAAATACCCTTTACCACATTGTCAAACACAACTCTTATTTTTATTATAGAACATAAAAATTATATCTTATTCCTCTATAAAAGCATATTTATCAAGTGCATACTTATCGGGAAGCGACCCTAAAACGCAACTTAATGTAGTACGAGCTTTATCATTACATATCCAAAAATAGGTTTAGATGGTCCAAATTTTGTAGAGTTCATTTTTGTATGAAATTCCTATTATGGGTCAATTTTTATTACCGCATATTAAAAGGTGGGCTTTTCTGCTCTACAAAGAATCAATTTTCGTGAAAATACTTAGTACCGTACGATTCAAAAAATAGTTCGAGTTGTTTCAAATTTGCTATAGTTAATTTTTTTACGTTAAGTTACTACTAACACATAATTTTCATCATGAAGCATTGAAAATTCTACCTGTTTGTCGAAAGAACTTCAGTTTTCCTTATATGAGAGAGTGGGTTCAAAAATTGCTCCATCCGGATCAAAGTTTCCATACCAATTTAGAACGGCGGAATACTTAGCCAATTTTGCTGGGAAATTTTGAAAATTGTAACATTTTGCATTCAACGACTTTTCAGAATTATGCATTATAGGGGGAATGGTCGAAAAAGTGTACCGATCCGACCCAATGTCAATTGCGTTCGTCCTTGGGTCTCAACACGTGACGTTCACCAAAATATCTCAAAAATTGCGACCTGTAACTTGAACACAATTTTAGATGGACAGACGGACAGACAGGCTTAGATCAACTCAGATTATGATTCTAAATTAACCAATATAATAAAAGGTCGGTCTACCTTAAACCCTTTCGCGTGTTATACACGCCAGCTTATAACTTAATATACCCTACACCACAAGTGGTGTATAGGGTATAAAAATCATTGAATGTCGAGTATCAAATAATTCGTGCTAAACCTAATGTAATTTTTCTTGTTTCTGAAAATGTTTGGCGCAGGCGGTTATTTGCATAATTGCTAACATAAATAATTTTATTCGTGCAGATTTGCATTAACATACATACGTACATTCAAAGAATTTACAAATATTTTCATGCATTACAATGAATTTATGAAAAACATAATTGTTTTTAGCGTTTATGCTCTAAAATAGAGAACGCGGGCGATAAACATTTTTAGCTTTAATATGTCAAAAGACTTTTTGTTTAGATATCTACAGATATCTATCTATTATGTAGGCTATAGGCACATAGAATTAAGCTACGAGATCACAATTTCTATTAAAAAATAAATCTTGTGTATATTGCGTTTATATTTCAATGAATGTCCTCTGAAAACTTATTATAGCGTCCTCAATAAATTGATTAAGGTTTCGTCTGTAACCAGTATGCCATGTGTTTACTGCTGCTGAGCTCACTTGAATTGTATTGAATTCTATTGAAATTGGTATGGAAATTGAAATCAAGTATTTTATGTCCTAATCGAAATAGAGACACAACTGGTGTCGTAACCATAACTGTATTATAATTCAAAGTCCAAAAGAAATCATAAAAATA